CGTTTGTGAAGGCGTTTTCATTGGCCGTTGATTTCGAACCTTCCAAATCGTAGCCTGGAAACACTCGGCCCTTCAAACGTTTGTTGTTGTCGACCAAACGCAGGCCGACCGTTTGACCGGAATGCTTTTGCAAAGCCGGCTGGCGTCGGCAGCCGGGCGAGAAAGTCGACCTTGCTTGAAGAACGTTCTGCGGCGATCAGAAAGTGGCAAATGTCAGGGCGGCGGTTTGCCGCTGGTACCGCGTGAATGAGTCTGAATCCTCTCGCGCCGTCAAGAGACGGCGAGCAACATCGAGACGCGCCCAAAAGCGTCTGGCGTCGAGGCGCGCCTTTTGTTGCCCCCGCCCTTTTCTTTTGCCTTATCAAAAATGACACCTGGCTCGAAATGCCGCAAAGCCCGTCGATATCTTTTTCCAGTGCCCCAAATCCGCCCGATGGAGAGGCCATTTCTCGGGGAATTACAGTTCAGATGACCTTTTGCTTGAACTCGACGACGTGACTCGATTTCAGTGTTGGCCTTTTGCCGCCCCCCCCTCCTGCTCGTTGGATTATACTGCCGAGTCGAGTGTGCACATGTCCTCAAAAATCTTGCTCGTCATCGGATTTTGGAAGTTCTTCGCCCTGCATTGGTTGCGATTGAACCTGGGTGAATATGTTTATGCAGCTGGACTTTTTTTCTCAATAAGAGTTGAACACAGGAAGGAAGGAAATAATAAGGTGGGGGGGGGTGGGGAGTGGGGGTTGGGGCACTCGAGGCTCATTCTCTGGTCCTCGGACTTCCTGAAAGCGTCCTTCTCACAAGTGAAGCCCCAGGCCACGTTCCCCCTGTCCTTATTTGTGCCGCTGGAGAAACCGGACCCTTCTTTTCCCGTCGCTTGGCCGAATTTCACCGGGAGAAGGTGGCGAGAGTGGGGCGTGCTGCCGCGCACCCCTTCCACTTGGCGTATTTTCGATGACATCGAGCACCCGTTCACGCCGTGTGTCTGATCGCTCCGTTGGCAACTCGGGGAAACGAGGCATCCGAGCTCGATTCAATCCGGGCGCGCGCATGCGTGCGCACATGCAGCTCACTTTCGAAGCATTATGATGCATCCGCGGGTACTTTGATGCATCTCTCAGGGTGCAAGAAAATGCAACGGGGACGACACCAAAGAAGTCGATTTCTGCTCGGCGGATTCTTGATGCCGGACAGGCAAGATGACAACTATCAGGACGAATATCTTCTCCACGTGGACTCGCAGTCTGCTTGAAAAGCAGACTTCATCTCTTTTGGGCCAGGAAATGGATATCTGATGCCTTTCAGCATTTGTATTTTACTCACACACACACACACACACACACACACACACACACACACACACACACACACACAAACACACACACACACCCGTTTTCAATCACAAATTCTGTCTGGCGCTCCCTTATCGCGATGCGCCCCGAAAATGCCAGCGTCACTCCCGGTCGTTGTCGTCAAGCTCCCACGGAGGCAAATGAGTCACTCAAGACTCTCCATCGTCCTCGCCAAGCACGTAAACGCCGTTCAGCGGCCGGCTGTCTTCCGCTCTCTCTTCGTCATTGTCCGTTTGCGGTCTCTCGCCAGCGAGCAAATCTCCGGCGCCATCTTTCGAAATCCTCCCATCCAATTTCTCCTCATCTCGTTCAGCTCATGACAGTCAAAGAGAGAGCCGGCCGCTCGCTCGGCACTCGACACGAGACGAGGCAAAGGCAGCTCGGGCGTGCCAGGGTGAAGACGAAAGCTCTTTTGCCCGAACTCGGCTCACGTCACCGGGAGCGCAAACGCAAATTTGGGATTGGAAGCAAAGATACGAAAAGCATTTGTGTGTTAGGTGCGGGCGGATTTTAATCGACGCGGGCTCAAAATCGGTCAAATGAAACCATCAACATCGGAATCGGCGCCGACCGAGAAAACGTCATGCGCTCCGTTTCCACTCACGCCTCCATCAAAATCTGGCATGACCAAAAGGCCGAACAAACGACGGCGTCCGAGTCGTCTTGAAACGCGAGCTTCCCGCTTTCCCATCGGATGACGAGGGGACCACTCCAAGCGGGGGCCTCGTGTGAGAAGGTGGCCGTCGGGGGGGGGGCCGGCTCGTCGACCACGCGAACGCTGTCAGGGTCTGACTCCCCGAATGTCTCTTCTTCATCCACCAGGATGAGCGGCCAATCAGAGGGGAAATTGCGCTCTCCTCCGCTGACCTCCAACTGGTGCTACGAGTGGAACACAACCGGTGAGTCGTCGCGCCGCGCTTGCACGCCATTTTTCCTCCTGAGCCTCTGCAAGAAGCGCCCGCTTCCTGTCCTCGCGCTCAACCTCGAGTTGTTTGTTCCACTGCATTTGCCGCTTCGAGCCTCCCAAAAAGCACCAAGGTTTTATTCGCTTTCAGTTTGATGTGTCAAAGGAGACATTTTATGCTCTTTTTTTTTTTTTTTCTCTCTCTCTCTTTTCCTCGTCAATTTAAGATTCCCCGACTGCTTTGATGATGTGCGTGTTTGGCAAAAAATAGCCCAAGGATCAACAACTCTCTCGCACCACCTCCTCCTTGCTCCGCGTCAACACACCATTCGGTTCACAAACGGAATCCTTGACGAGGCCGTTTGCGATTGCGCAGCAAAGCGACGGACCCCCTTTGCAACGGATGAAAAATAGAAGGATTCTCTTGTTTATGAAGAATGGGACAGATGGCAGTTTTTTGACAAATCAAATCACGCGCAACGACATTCTCGGTTCAGCCATGATTTGCCGCTCTGATTCGACCATAAAACAGTTTGATTTCCTGATCCGGTAATCCTTTGTTTTTCATGCTTAATGGGGGCCGGAAACACCCCGCGACAGGTGATATGGTCGGATTTGACATTAATGACAGTCAAATATTGCACCCCCCCATGCCCCCCATAAATGGCCCAAAATCTGCAAGCTTTTCTCTCTGTGGTTAAGTTAAATACTAAAGTCCAATGTTGTGCCTGCAATGCATGTCTTTGTTGTTGCAACCTTGAAGGGACCCCCCCCCCCAAAAAAAAAAAAAATTATTTGCTTCATAATTATTGTCCGTTTGCGGTCTCTCGCCAGCGAGCAAATCTCCGGCGCCATCTTTCGAAATCCTCCCATCCAATTTCTCCTCATCTCGTTCAGCTCATGACAGTCAAAGAGAGAGCCGGCCGCTCGCTCGGCACTCGACACGAGACGAGGCAAAGGCAGCTCGGGCGTGCCAGGGTGAAGACGAAAGCTCTTTTGCCCGAACTCGGCTCACGTCACCGGGAGCGCAAACGCAAATTTGGGATTGGAAGCAAAGATACGAAAAGCATTTGTGTGTTAGGTGCGGGCGGATTTTAATCGACGCGGGCTCAAAATCGGTCAAATGAAACCATCAACATCGGAATCGGCGCCGACCGAGAAAACGTCATGCGCTCCGTTTCCACTCACGCCTCCATCAAAATCTGGCATGACCAAAAGGCCGAACAAACGACGGCGTCCGAGTCGTCTTGAAACGCGAGCTTCCCGCTTTCCCATCGGATGACA